GCTTTAACCCGCTGCGCCACCAGGGAGGGCCGAGAACGGTGTTATTATTAGCCCCAACTTCCGGGGGAAGAAATACGCTCAGAGAGGTTAAGTGGCTTGCCGGAGGCCCCCCAGCTGGACGGAGGCAGAGTGGGCGCCTGACACAGCGCCCCTCCGCGTCTGCTGGGCGGGCCGGAGGCGCATCCCCCCGCTGCCGTCCCGCAGTTTCTGTGCTGTCCCATGCGCGTCGGGACCTCGCGACCCGCTTAAGTGCCTGCTTTCCCCCAGCCTGTCCTCCAGGCCAAGGGGTGGCCCGTTCATCGTTGTCTCCCCAGTGTCTAGCTCCGTTATCGAGGTGCGTGGGCAGACCGGTGTCCTGCTGGTATAGATGGAGGCGAGATCTGGTCTCAGCTTCCGGGCACTCAGTGTCCAGCGCGGGAGCAGACTTGGGACAGTCAGTGCCAGTCCAGCGAAGGGGAGACTGCGGGGCAGGCCCAGACCTGGTGGGAACCCAGGAGGGTGAGGGGCCAGACCTTGGGGCTCAGGGCTCCTGAGCTGGGGGGCGGGGCGGGTGAGTAGCTGCGATGGGCGAGGGAAGCAGGGGACAGGGAGGATGCCCCAGGCAGGGAAGTCACCCTGGTGATGATGACCGGGAGGCAGCACGGCGCGATGGCCCCAGGGGCAGGGCCTCTGGGCTGGGCTCTCCCCAGCTGTCTCCGGAGGCCCTTTGGGCTCCCGCTGGCCGCCCTGACCTTGCGGAGCCTGCCCCTGCCGGGCCAGCGCCTGAGGCCTGTCTGCGGGTTTGACACGGGCCCCCAACTGCTTGTTCAGCTCCTCGATCCCAGCGAGGCTGCAGCGAGGCCTGTTAAATAATAATGTAGCTCACCAGGGCCTGTGTCAACACCGCAGCCTCCGTGTTCATTATCTAGATCGCCACCTTCAAAGTCTAATCCAGTCGTCTGGAGTTCATTTTACCCGATCGCTGGAGGGGGAAGCCAGCTGTGGGATGATTGTTGCATCTCAATTCAAAAAAAACTTACTGGGGACAGGCAGAGAGGCGGCTGGCTGTGTGTGGGGGGTCGGGGGTACGTGGGGGTGGTCCGCTGGTCGGGGCAGAGCGGGCGCTCCCTGGCTGGGCCGTGAGCGGGCGCCGGGTGACAGCGGGTCCCCACCCTGCTGCAGACGCCAGTGGGCTCGGCGTGGACGGGAAGCAGGCCGGAGGCCAGGCCCTGGAGTGTGGCCCCTCTAGTGGCCTCTGAGCCTGCCCGGGCCCCCGTCCCACCTCTGGGCCGTCGCCGCCGCTGTCCCGTGCCCAGAACGCTGTGCCCAGGCCTGGCCTAGCCACATCTCCCAGCCTCAGGAGCTCAGAGCTTCGCTCACCGTGGGAGATGATCTTGACCGTGACCCCCGACCCCTGCACCCGCGAGGCGTCAGCAGACGAGAGCTGGGTCTCCGTCTGACTCCCTGGAGCAGTGCCGCCCTGCCGCCGGCGCCGAGGGGCTCAGGGGGCGTGGAGGGGCCACGGGGGGAGTGTGCCCCTTTCACTGTTTCACTTTTCGGGCGCAAGGTGGAAATGTGGGCTGGGGAAAACTCGGGGTGCAGGTCAGTTGGCAGGTGTCCTGGGAGCAGCTGTCTCTCAGGAAGTGGGGCAGGGAGGTCACCCTGGAGAGGGCGGGAAGGAATCTGGGCCAAGGGCTCGTCGGCGGCGTGGCGGCCGGGACGGTGGACCCTGCGCTGTGGGTCACCACAGGGCCCAGCGATTTGAGCAGTGACCTTATTTTTCTAGGTAAAGCAGTGGGGCAGATTTGGGTGGGCACGAGGGCTGGCGTCCTGCCTCTGAGGCTGCCGCCAGAGCCTTGAGGTGTTCCCATGGTGACCTCCCTCCCCCAGA